TAATAGATGCTCGTGACTTGTGACACCCCGGTTTGGGCTGTGTTGGGATGGTTCTACTATTATTATCTATGTTTCCGTGAAATTATTATTATTAAATCATGCTTCATAATTGCTTAATGGTAACTAACTGTTTAAAAGAGGTATCCTGCATTGGTATGGCTGGCCTTGTCTTCACGAGAGGCGCCATCACGACCGGGTTCGGGAATTGGGTCGTGACAATGCGTTTCTGAGTAGATCTTCTTATACAAATCCATGAATATCTAGATAAACTAGGGTATGTGTTGATTTACAATTTCATGACGATAATCAACACTGGATCTACATCGCATTGAACGTTTAGGTCAGGAGAAACCGTCTAAATGGAGCACCCTTCTAGGTCATATACGAGATTTTTATTGGGTTATTATAGTTATTAGTTCTTAGCGTTGGGTGTGTTAAAGGGCTATTAATGAACATATACTACATCCAATTGTTCATCGTGGATGGAGTATATGCTGCCTTGGTTACTGCACCAAGGATATCTTAACTCGAGTTGGAGAACATACCTATTACAAAATCTCACGTGTTATCAGCGTTTTATATTTTATGTACCACTATATTTACCCATGTGATTTTAAGATAGCTCATACGGCTGAAATATTCTTATACCGGCTGAGATTCTTACGCCCTGACCATTTCTATTAAAGAATAAATATTACCACAAGATATCAATCTTTTGCGTACCTGCTCAGCTTCATCTCTTGAATCCCTTTGTCACGCCCCGAACCTGGGCCTAGACGTAATACGACACTCGGTGCCTGACTACATGTGACCGAGTGAATCAACTGGCTGGCTGAATCAACATGTGGTATCATAACATACTGAATGCAGAAGATAAACTAACACATGCTGATATACTGAAAGTCTGGATGATATAAATAAAAGTGCGGAAATACTAATACAATTCTGAAACATATATGTAGCCAACATTGCTTAACATGAAAAGCCTGAGACTCTGTCTAAATGTTACTCTAGTCTATGAAGCCTCTAATGAAATACTGAAAACACTGGCTGTCTGAAAATACTGAAGACTGTAAGGTAATGATAATGCCCCGAAAGAACTGGGGATCACCAAATAGCTGGTACGAGAAACCTAGCGCTCTGAATCATCAACTTGTAAATCATTACCTGCATCGTGAGATGCAGGCCCCGGGCAAAAGGGACGTCAGTACATTTGAATTGCACTGGTATGTAAAGCAACTGAAAGAAAGAATTAAAAATGCTGAAACTGAAACTAAGTTGATAACTGAAAATTGATAATTGGTACTGAAATAATACTATTGAAAAAGAAACTGTAATGATAACTGATAACTGAACTGATAACTGATAAATGAGCTGATAACTGGTAACTGAAATGATAACTGATAACTAAACTGAACGAAGGAAGTAAGGATATGAATACTCCCTCTTCTGAACTGAGAATCATACTGAAATACATGATGCTGAAATACTGAACCATACTGAGTTACATGATACTTGAATGCTGAATCACACTGAGTTACATAATACTGAAATACTGAATAGGTCTAAACTGAGACATGTATTCTTGAACTGATTATGAACACTGAACTTTAACTGTTTATGACATGCTGAGTAAGCTATACTGAGACTCGGGGACATCAAGACCAAGTCTATATTGAATACGAGCTGAGCTCACAACGTTCAGAATGAAAGTCATGAACGAGTAATGAAGCTAGAGAATAGAAGTTCTACAACTATTCAAGGAATTAGGCTAAACTATATTTCTGAGGCAGTTAGTAACGCGGGAAAAGGAACATAATGCAGGGAGAATTATTAACATTCCCAAACATAGAGAGATAGCCTCACATACCTTAAATTCCTGCTCTTGAGCATAATACAACGTTTGTCAGCCCTTTCAACTTTAATCTATACAAGTCAAAGGGATTCCATATTAGCTATGATGCTCATGTTTTGGTCACTTAAGTATCTTATCAAACACTTGGTGAGAATAAAGTTTCATGGTCCTTATTAATGGTGTTTCTACACCCACTAACCCATTCTCTTGTTCCTAGATAAATTCTAAAGTCTCAAATGGTTATAATCAACATTATTCTTTATCACCCATAAAGTATACAACACCCTTAACCAATAATAAACAATCAACACCCCAAACCTATAATCGTTCATGATTTTCTATCAAACCCATCAACTCATATCTCATGAACTAGGGTTTAAATTCATTAACCAATGCTAAAATCAATTAGAGGGTGAAGACATTACCTTCTTGACATTCAATCTTCTTGAGTTCGAGTTCTAGAGTTCCTTCTCTCAACAATGATGCCCCAATCAAAACGGACAAAACTACTCTACTTATGATTTGGAGATGGCCGCAATGGTATTTGCTCTAAGGATCTAGAGACACTACTCAACGACAAATCTTGCGAGATTTATACCGACTATAAGAGCTTGAAGTAAATTTAGTAGAGAGATTTGAATCGATAATGTAGATAAATTGAACTTCTCAAGGACTAAGATTATTCTATTTTGTATCATTCTGGGAAAACGAATATTGTGGCTAATGCATTAAGCAGAAAATATATAGATAGTTTGGACATATAGCTGGAGACTTTTGGCCAAAGATATGTATAAACTAGAAGGTACCGATATCAAATTTAGTATGGGAAATTCGGAGACATTGTTGGCTGGTGTTAAAGCCAACTAGTAGAGTATATAAAGGCCACTCAATATATATAAAGATGAGCGACTATGTAACGTGATGAGGTCCTGGGTAGTGAAAGCAAGGATATGATTATTGATAGTGATGGTATTCTTTGACTAGGTGACTGGTCACGCGTACTAGACGTAGATGGGTTACGACGAGTTATTCGTGAGGAGCTCATAACTCTTGATACACTATACATTTAGGGTCCAAGAAAATGTACCATGACTAGAAGAAAATTGTAATTGTGAGAAAAGAAAGAACTATTTTCTATTTTTCTTAACTTGTTTCTAACTATTTGACTTCTTGGCCATGTTAGGACAACCATTTGTGACTTGCAAGACCACCACAACCACTCGAGATTTCAAAGTGGAATATAATAACAGTGAATTTTATGACGGAACTACCTCAAACAATAAGAAGTTATAATTATAAGTGGAAAAATTTAAATAGGCTTTCATAGTAAGCATACTTCTTACTTGTCAATACTTCAATAGTGAGGTGATATATGCACAAATATACATGAATTGAAATTTGTCTGACTCCATAGTATTTTATTGTCCATTATTTTTGAAAGAGGATCACAATTTACTTCACGCTTTTGGAAATCTTTTCAAGAATTATTGAGTACACGAGTAGATCTTTGTACTGTATTTCCTCTCCAAACAGACGGGCAGTCTGAACATACTATACAAATCTCGGAGGGCATGTTGAAAGCTTGAATATTTGCTCTTGGAGGTAGTTGGGATGATTCCCATTGTTAAGCTAAATTTACCTACAACGATAGCTTTCAGTTAGAGTAGTAAGATGGCATTGTATGAAACAGTGTGACGATGTCGCTTCCTTATTAGATGATTAATAAACAATGATTTTAAGGTGTTAGGTTCAGACTTAGTAGTATAAGAATCTATTGATAAGGTCCAGTCAATCAGACCGATATTACTTACATCACCAAGCAGAATAAACTCTTGTGCAGATGAGAAAATCAGATTTAGAATTTACAATTAGAGACCAAGTGATCATACGAGTCTCTCTTGTGAAAGGCGTGGTGCAATTGGAAAAGGAGGAAATATAAATCCAAGGTTTATAAGATTATAAGAGATACTTGAAGGGATGGAAGTCATCGCTTACCGTTCAGTACTTATTCCTGAGTTGTTTTATTATATATATATATATATTATATATATTATATATATATATATAATATATATATATATATATATATATAATATATATATACAAAACAAAAAAGAGCATATTGGACTCCTCTCATGTGCGTGAAACACCAATTACGCAACTTGATGAGAAGTTAACTTATGACGAAGAGTCAATCGCCATTGTTGACAGACAAATAAGAAAGTTACGATCAAAAGAAATTGTGTCCGTGAAAAAGTCTTGTGGGAAAATCCTATTGTTGAAGAAGTTATTTGGGAATCAGAAGATGATATGCGAGTAAACTATTTTCACATACCTTAGTCTCCAGGTACACCGCTTATTTAAATTCGGGGACTAAATTTCTTAAGGTGGAGAGAATGTAATACCCCATATTTAATAATAGGTATTTAAGTACTTAGAAAAAGAAAAAAAAGGATAGAAGTCAATAAACTAAAAAGCCCATGAAGATCTGGCGAGAAATTAAGGGGCAAGAGATTAAGAAAAAAAAAGGAACAAAAGAGAACCCCAATTACACAAGAGTAAGAGAACTTCTGCCGCACAAGAGCTTATGCCCCAACCAAAGCTATACAAAAATCTCAAATACACCAAAAATTAAAATACTGAAGTTTAAAAGATGGGGATATTCACTGGCATTGAGACGTGAAGGATAGAAGAAGGAATCATCAAGTATTTTCGTGCCGAAAGCTTCTCGCGTGAAACACAGATGCAAAGACAATTTGTTTAAGAAATTTTTCAATTCGAAGGTAAACTTTCTTACTTACAATTTGCTTAAGTTTATCATCGGGGTGTATGTAATTTCATTAGGTACTAAAAGAAGTATTGTCGACTGTAATCCTCTATGGTTTAGGCTTATACGAATATTTGGCATAATCTGGTGCGGAAGAAAAATTGAAAGAACAAATTGTACAAATAAGTTGGAATTGATAGATTATAGACTAGTTGAAGTGCTCATGCATGAGTAAATATAATTCGGCGAATTGATGGTAGAATATGAAACTTGGAGGATTGGGTATTCTAAATTAGTTATGAATTAGCCTAAACGAGGCAATTGACATGAGATCAACATTATGTGAATATAGATTGATTGGAGGAAGTTGTACGAATTGCTCGAGGTGAAGCATTTGGTATTTTGGCACGAGTACGGTGAGTAGTAACCCTTCCGCAATTTGTATTTTCATAACCTGCATGGTTTAAATATGATTTTGAAAATAAAATGTGTTACCGAATATTTGAAATTGCATGTGGGACAAGTCCTTTACTTGATATGGTACTGAATAGTTTACTTGAGATGTTTACAATTATTTAAAATGTTCTCACTGTTACTAGACATGATTTACTGTTACTTGAGATTTGATTACCGTCACCGAAATTGGATTACATGATTTGATAAGAATTGAAATGCTAGGTACTATTTCGAAAATGCTTTCATGTGAAAATTTACTATTTATAAAGAAAAGTATAAATGAGAGGAGACCTTGAAGGATCCCGTAGCTAACGGCGGGTTCGTTAGACTTGGTGCACCTTGTATTTACAGATTACCGATTACAGTTATAGCCCTCGCTAGTGAGAAGGTAGAACTAGCGTACAGTTACAGTTTTCCCTCGAGTAGGGACCTACAGTTATATTTGACTCCTTTTACGAAGGGGTCCACACAGTGATACATATTACATGATCCTTTCTTGGAAACCTCCCAAAACATAAGATTTGATATGAAAATGTTTATAGAATTTATTACCGAATTGTTAGTTGATTCCTACTTACATGAAAAGAGACAAGATTGATTATTGTTACCGATTCTGAAAAAGGCATTTTTCATGATATTTTATGATTATTATACAAGCATATTTTCTGAGTTGTCCCCATTAAAAAAAAATAGGTTGTGGTTAAGTGTTATTACTCACTGAGCTAGCGACTCACTCCCCGCTATTTATTTTTTTAGAAATCGCAGGTGACGCTGGTGAGGATTTCGATAACTATAGCGCACGAGTTGACATATTCTGGTGAGCCCCGCATCACTTCGCGTGGGCAACAAGTTATTTGCTTTCTTTGGTACTTTTCTTTTGAAAACTCTTAGAGTCGCTCCATAGTCATTTTTTTGTGTCATGAGTATTCCTTTATTATTTTAGAACTATAATTAGTATTAGACTTCCTTATCATATTTTGGAGATGAATGTAGTATTACTGTGGTAAAATTGATTGATTAATAGCGGTGGATAAATTTTTTATTAGCTGATGAGCATTAGGAGATACTTTGGTTGATATAGGTTGGTTCTGTTGTTGATTCTGAGACAGGGTAAATTTTTGGATAGTCCTAAAACAGGGAAAACTCTGCCCGATTTTCTGTAAATTCCCGTTAAGGCTTGCTTTGGGATCCTACCCCTTAGCGCCGGTCATGGCCCTAAATCGGGTCGTGACAAGAGATTACCTTCTTGACGTTCAATCTTCTTGAGTTCGAGTTCTAGAGTTCCTTCTCTCAACAATGATGCCCCAATCAAATATCTAAATGATTTGGAGGATTTACCCATGTTAATAAGATGTTAGGAAATTGAAATTAACTTAGAATCACCATTAGAACTTACCTTGGGTGGTGGAGGGACCCTTAAGGAGTTAGGTTTTTGAGAGTTTCCCTTTCTAGAGCAAGTTTTTATGTTTTGGGGACTGTGGGGGACGAAGTAGGGCTTTAAAAACGACCCCCCATGAGTGTGCCCGCGCACCTGTAGACCTGACCGCGCTATTGGCAGTAACACTGTCTCAAAAGAAGAGCGACCGTGCTCGGGGCGCGCTCAGGGCGCGCATATCGCATACTATTCTATAAAATGCGCATAACTTCTTGCAAAGAGATCCGTTCGGGCTCCATAATATATCGTTGGAAAGCTATTTCAAAGGCCTAGAACTTTCATGCTTTGAGGTTTCCCAAATTCACTACACATTTTCACTAAAACCGGATGGAAGACAGACCTTCTGCAAACTTAGTCGATTTTGTCAAATCTTATGCACCTCACTTTCCATCTTAATTTTGAAACAACTATTTTACCCATAATCATCCCGATGGGACTTCAGATGTCCAAATTATAACCCTACTACTCCTTTAACTTATTCATACCTAAGCCGAATTTACGGGGCGTTACACCCTTCAATTCGCTTAATAAGGTTTTGGACTCTTTTTGAACGAAACTGGTTCATTTCATAACGGATAAATTCAAAAGGATTTGGGATTAAATGGGACTCTCATCTTAATCATGATCCAAATATAATCATTCAAAATTAGTTTTACCCCATGCACAAGATTATTCATAAATCATTTAAAACTCTATTTCAATTATTGATCATCGATACTGAACTCAAGTTTGATCACAATATTTATATTTATAAATATACATACTTATAACAAAATATAGGTATATGTTTATTAAGTGACCCAAAACCTTTCGCACCTCTTGAGCTTTGAAATTGACTCAAAAGACATGATCGGATTCAGAATATCATGCATAATTGTGGATTATAGAAGAAAACATCTCTTGGCATCTATTTTTTTTAAATTTATTTTTGGAACAAAGCATTTAAAGAATGAGATGACCATTAAGTGATATATATCCTTGAACAGAGATATTAAAGAAGAGAAAATATTGTGTATGTGTTTTGATAGGTCTTTTGAGTAGAAGTCATACAAGGAAAAGATGTTCGCTAGCAATCAATAACGGATAAGCAATGACTTCTGATAAAGAAATCCTTAAAGCCACTAGAAAGGGTTTATGATTATACAACCATATTTGATTATAGTCACTTGTGGACATGGATTTATAATATTGCTTAATGTTTTTAAAGGTAGCAGCGAAATCATATCCCATTTTCTGATAATGATTATAGTCACTTGGTTTATGATAATGATTATAGTCACTTATCAACAACGGATAAGCAATGACTTCTGATAATGATTATAGTCAATTGGCATTGCTTGGAAATCATATCCCATTTTCTTATTGTCCAAACAGTCACGGACTTTTACGAGATAAGGGTTTTTCTTCTCGTCGTAGAAGAAGAACTCAGTGTTCAAAGAATCTGGCGTGTTGATGTCCTTGCGTTTTCCTCCTAATGTTTTCCATATTGTCCACATGCGATCTACATTTGCATGGTGACTATAGAAAGCAGGATCCTTACCGGCTGAATAGAAATTTCCCATATCTTCACCGTTTTTACAGTTATTCTCAATAGGCTTACAACCACATCATGAATGGCCTCCCATATCACTAATGATATATACATCATAGACCGTTCAGTTCATGCAAACGGAACAACAAGGCTACCTTCATCAAACAAAACCAGATTCGAAAGAATTCCCATAGTAAGAGACTTACTCAATGATAGGTATAAATGTACCATGAATAAGTTGGGTTTTTTTTTTTTAAAAAAAATAATCTGTCTTTAGGTGACGGTGGGTTTGGCATGGACCCCTACCATGTAAATTAAAATCCAGAGGTAAACANGTAAACACATTAAGGAGGGGGGCATAAAACCTAACCTCCACTAAAACAAAAGGAAATGAAGGCATATTCCTGGACTCATGAAGAAGGATATACAATGAAGATCCTATTGTTTGAATAAGTTGGTTTTCTCGGTTGATATGGTATTAATATGATCAAAATAAAGAATATAATATACGTATTTACCTGATAGTATAGAAGAAAATAGTTATATGAACTTAAATGAATGATCCTTAGGTGGATCAAAGATTTGCGAAATTAGACCCTTCAGTAATAACCTGAAAATAGTCACTCACTAATGATGCAAAAAGAACATCTCATTCCAAATATTCGTACACCATTATAATTAATCAAATAAAATTAATTAATATTTCATTGTCCAGGAGTGTCTCTTTTCTTAATTTTGTCACTGTCTTATTTCTCAGTTTGATTCTGTTAAATACAAATTTCAATAACATGACATGCACGCGAAACTATGTGCTATTAGTTTAATACTAATGTAGGGTATAAATTAGAAATAAATGTTTAAAGACTAAGGGGATAACGATGCATTACCATTAATTATAAAATTAACACTATTTTCATCGCAGGCTAATATAATTTTTCAGGCTGCTTGATAATGCCCCTAGGTGATCAATATCTTAAATCTTGGTACACGAATCATTATATACTTAAAGTATCTACCCAAATAGATGTTAGTAGACAGATATAGAATGCAATTAAACTATAGTTATTGTTAATCTCTTACTACTGGAACGCACTCAACTATAGGGTATCAATATATCACCGTGTCAAATATCGTGGTATTCGAATAGACTCATTCTACCAAAAAGTGTAGCATTTAATTATGAGAAATTACAGAAATATACGTTTTACAGAAGCTACATATGAGATAATGTCTATCAAGACTCTGGATAGACATACCTATGATACCCCTGCTACACTTGAGCATTTCTCCAGAAAAACGAGTGTCACTTATTCCGTCATATTTAGGGTATGGCAACTTGGGGTATGTATATGACCACACCCCAAGTTGCCATACCCATATGGGTGGAGTCAAAGTCAATTATGTATGCAAATTTCTCACAACAATTGATTGAAGATTTAAACCAAGCGTGAAGATTGTGGTATATCACTAATTTGAGAATTTATGCTTGGAGGGCATTCAGTTTATTGGGTTATGGACTGTGGAGGTTTGCTCCGGATATGAGGATCGTTCTTGTGAGTCATGGGAAAAAGGGGTTATTATGGATCCTTGAAAGGCTATTAGCCTAGTACGGTGCGTTCAGAAGCGGCTCGAGGTCGGTGGGTGGATTTAAATATGAATATGAGCTCTATATCAGGCCAGATGTGTTCATTTCAGCATAGCACTCCTTATGGAGATATTGGATGTTATCTCGTTGTAGGCTATTTCATGTAATGAGTAATAGAAGACGTGCATATCCCATAAGAAAGAATTTGAAACAGTGTTAATCAATAACCAGAATTAATTATAAAGAACATATATTCAATAAATATATATTTAAACCTGATTATATCTGCCCGAGGGTTTTCAAGGTAGCCTTGCTGATGCTTATTGGTAATCAATATGAATAAGAAATCAAAATCAGAAAATAATACGTATGCACCAAGGATATCTTAAATCTTATGAAAATATGGCTTTAATAAGGTCTGATAGTACCCATTAAAATATAATTTGGTTTTATCAAAATAATACTATTCTACACACTCGGAGGAGGCCACTTGGGTTCACATAGCATTATTTAAAATGATTCATAGTCCAATTTACGGACTAGTAATACGATTAATATTAGATTCAAACTCGTTATATTGAAGTCGCCCTTGATTTAATTTACGCAATACTTAAAAATTGCGTAAATGACTGAGAGTAATATTTATCAATCTCTCGTAACTCAATATGACGAGTTTGAATCTAATATTAATCGTCATCTTATTTAACTGTCTATAATCAATACACATCCGTAAGGAACCATCTTTCTTCTTCACAAATAACACAGGTGCTCCCTACAGTGATGTACAAGGTCTGATAAAGCCTTTTTCAAGCAAGTCCTTTAGTGTAGCAGACAGAATAAATGTGTAATTTATACCCAATTCGAATGTCTTTCAGTTCCCGACAACAAGAGGAATATCTTACATTGTTAACAACAGGTATATAAATATGCATGTCTCGTAATTGTTAACAAGAGGAATATCTCTTGCATTCAAATAAGATGTACCATTAGCCCCCTCACCTAGTGTTGTTACACCATTAGCTCCATCAATTGATTTTGATACCTAATTTGTTCTACGGATATATTTATTATCATACAAGTATACTAAGATATTCCGTTAGTCATGACACCTACATACGAATTGATTTAGGTATGTAGGGTATTTTCATATAGCGAGTAAATACCCGAAACAGTATTTGGAGTTTAGGGAGTACTAAGTATATTTTTATATTTCTTACCTCCAATTTGGTATCTTAATTAATATGGTCCGACAAACAGTGCTCCATTGAGTTATGGACCGTAACTAATTAAATTACATTCACCCACCTATTTAGTAAAAATGGCCGAGCACATCGGAAGACTAAGCTTAATATTAGGCAAAATACATGTTTATCCATTGACCTTGCACCCAAATCCCTGTTACACACCTCTCTATTACGGGCGATCTTTTACACCCAACCTTTTAGAAGCGTGTCAATGACACACCATTTTGCTTAGCTGGCACGTGCATGTTTA